ACAGGTGGGATATTCCAACAACCGAACGTGGCAGCTGGCCACCATGACTGTTTTGGGGGAAAAAAAAAAAAAAGTGATTTCTGTCTACATTGGAGAAAGTAGTTTGTAGAGCAGGGAAGGCCTCTGTACCAGGAAAGGGGCTGGTTTAGTAACTCGAGGCTAGGCTGGGGGTGGGTCTGCTGTTGGGAATCAAACCTCCACATCAAGTCACCAAGACAAAGTCTTAACATTAAATCCTTTGGACAGAAAAAAATTTGAAATTGAAGTCAGCAACGTGCAAAAAAAAATTGGTGTCATGTACTTAAAGAAAACAATGTACAGTATGTGAAAACATAACATGCATTATTTGCATAAAAATACAGTAATATTCCCCTTTTCTCAAAAGTTAACAATATATTATCTAGTAATATGTTTTAAAAGGTGCTAAAAGTATTTTAAAAAATCAAAGAGATAAACAACATAAAAGTCAGTTTATGGTTACCTGTAGCAGATGCAACTGTGGAAGAGCCCTGGGGCTAAGGGCTCAGCTGCTAACCAAAAGGTTGATCCATGTAAGCTAGCAACAGTTCCTTGAGATAAAAGAGCTGGCAATCTGCTACTAAAGATGACAGCCTAGGAAACCTTACAGGCAGTGCTACTCTATAGTAAAGAATCACTACGAGTCAGAATGCACATAATGGCACAAAACCAGTACCGCATGCATGCTATTTCTTAACCTGGGTGATAGAAACATGTCTAGATCACACATATGTGATTTATACACTCTTCCACAGGCATAATACACTTCCCAATTAAAAAATAAAAAATTCTTAAGCTAATATTGTGATTGAGCCAAGCAATTCAGAACTTAACATAAAACCCTGCCTCTGTCAACTTGAGCAGTTGCATGAGTCAGATAGACAGCTGGTACACCACCTGATGTTACCAGCCTCGGGTTTCCTAACAACTGTTATGAGCATCTGACTAAGTGTATCACTTTATGTTAGAAAGGGACAAGCACAAGCTTTTGAGTCAAAGAGGCACGGATTCAAATTCAAACTGGATCACTTCCCGGATGTGTGATTTGGGCAATTACTTCATTGCTAAGTAGAGATGATACTTAATGTTGAAAACTGCGATGTGGCTTAAATGAAAAAATACATGTAAAGGACTGGACACAGCAGGGACTCATTCAATAAATGATGATAAGTGTATTTTAGGATTTAACGCTTTAATATGCATTTGTTTCATTCCACAGCCATTTCATTCCTCAATGATTCAGAATTGACTTGATGGCAATGAGTTTGATTCTGAGGTTCATCTGCAATTCATAACAACCATCTCTCCTTATAGGAAATTAAAAGGCCAGTTTATGAAAGCATACAAGGCCATCCTAGATTGGTGGGGGGGAACAGGGAGAAGTAACAGTTGGACATACCACAAGTGTCAGCCACAGAGCCACTGAGCCATCAAGTCAGCCACCAAGGGAAGGCCACCAAATCAGAAAATCACAGAGTGGCAGAGCTCAGAGGAGATTGAGAGAGAGCTGGACTCTCAAATCTTAAAACCCCCCAAAACAAACCCATTTTCATCAATCAATTTCAACTCACTGCCACCCTACAGAATAGACTAGCACAGCCTCACAGATTTCCCAAGGCTGTCATCTATGGAAGCAAACTAACACATCTTTCTCCCGTGGAGTGGCTAATGAGTCCCAACCACTGTCCTTTCCATTAACAGCTGAATGCTTACTCACTGCTCCTTTTGAGAAATCCAGTCCCTTAGTAGTCTTCTACAATTCCTTATCGCCTGTCCACTATCCTTTCCACTTACTCAGTTCAGTTTTAACACTTCATCTCAGCTTCTGTTGTTTACCTACCCTTTTAAGAAAAATTCTAAATTAGTTAAAATCTAGATTTCTTCTTTTGAATATAAGCATTTAAGGTTATAAATTCCCCTCGATGGTCTGCTTTAGCTGCATCCCATAAATTCTGATAAATCATGTTATCATTGTTTAATTGTCGCTGTCAATTCTGACTCACAGTCACCTTATAGGACCGAGTAGAACTGTCCAATCGGATTTCCAAGGCTCTGGTAGCATAGTGGTTACGAATCGGGCTGCTTATCTCAAGGTCAGCAGTTTGAAACTACCAGCAGTTCCGCAGGAGAAAGATGAGACTTTCTGCTCGTGTAAAGATTTATGGCCTCAGAAACCCTAAGCATGGTCACTATGAGTCAGAATTGGCTCTACGACACACCACCATAACCACCACCAATCCTGGTACAACACTAAAGGATAAGCACTGGACTGCTAACCAGAAGATTGGCAGTTCAAGCCCACCACCTATTTCTTGGAACCCTCTTCAGGGTCACTATGAGTCAGAACCAACTCAACAACAATAACAACAATAATCTTTATGGAAGCAGATTGCCATGGGGTGGATTCAAACTGCCAGCTTTTCAGTTAGCAGCTAAGCACTTAACCACTGTTCCAGCAGGGTTCCTCATTATTGTTTAGTTCTGAATATATACTCATTACCACAATGATTTATTCTTTGTCAAGTTGGTTTCAACTAATAGTAAACTAATAGTACAACAGAGCCCTAGTGTGGCACTGCAGGATAAACAATGTACTGCTAACCATAAGGTCAGTGATTCAAACCCACCAGCAGCTCCTCAGAAACCCTATACAGGTCTCTATGAGTTGAAACCGACTCAATGGTACTTAACGACAACCGCAACATGTACAACAGAACAAAACTATGCCCAGTCCTGCATCATTCTCACAATCACTACGTTTGAGCATCTTTGCAGCTACTGTCAATCCAGTTTGTTGGGATCTTCCTTTTTTCGATGACCCTGTAGTTTACTAGGCATGATGTCCTTCTCCAGGGATTGGCTCCTCCTGATAATATGATCAAAATACATGAGATGAAAAATCGTAATTTATAAGGAATATACTAGCTGCACTGCATCCAAGACAGATTTATTTGTTCTTCTAGCAGTCTGTGGTACTTTTAATATTCTTCACCAACATCATAATTCAAAGGCATCAAATCCTACGGAGCAACTCTACTCTGTAGTATAGTATGGAGAAGCTACAAGTTAACAACAATCAGCAGGGACCATACCATATCTCTCTATAAATACTCAGAGACCTTAAGTCACTTTTAAAATAGCCTTGCAGATAGACTGATGTATCCCATCAGTCTCAATCTAGGATTACCTAGATTCACTGCAACACGAAATGCATTTAAAACAATAGACAAAAATAGCAAAATATAAAAGTACTCCAACCTAACCTATCATAACATTGCAATGTCATTCCAACTCATTCTTTTATTCATTAATGAATTCATTTATTTACTCAACATCATGTATCATGTATTTACTATGTTCCTGGCACTCTGAGCACAAAAAAAGCTTTAAGGCAGAGCCTGGTGCATAGTTGGCACCTAACAGATTCTTCCTGAATGAATGAATAATTAATGAGAAATGAATGAGTCATGGCACTAGATCAGCAGGAGCCTGTGAGCTTACCTAGACCATCTCTCTAGGCCCCTGTCTCACATCTATAGAGTGAGATGCTCATTCCTGTTCCATCGGCACCACAGGAGGCCTCAGGGTTACTGATGCAAAATGTGTTTAGATGCAAATACATAAAATAATGGATTTTAAAAGCATAAAGCATCTAGCAGACCCTTTTCTATTCTTCTGGTTTCTATTGCATCATTGCAACAATGTCTTACGATCTAATGCAATTTTATGTCAGAAATCCTATGTGGACATTTAAACTATAAGTATATCATGTGTTATATTAATTATACAATATGGATTTAACATAATAAAGTGGTATAATCTGTTGAGTGTTAATTTAAAACAGACAATAATAAAAGCATACAAGTGCAGACCGTTACTCATAACAGCAGCCACTCTTAATGAATACCTACTATGGGCCTTGAATCATGGTGGTGCAATGACTAAGTACTTGGCTAGTAGCTGAAAGTTTGGTGGTTCCCAGAAGGTCTGCAAGGGAAAGACCTGGTGATCTGTTTCTGTAAAGGTTACAGCCAAGAAAACCCTATGAGGCAGTTCTACTGTGTCACACAGAGCAGTCGTGAGTCAAAATTAACTTGATAATACACAAAAACAACTATGTGCCCTATCACCCTTTAGTCATGTTATAACTCTGGTGACTTGCACGTTTCTGTGATACTGGAAGCTATGCCACCAAGATTTAAAATACTAACATGGTTACCCATGGTCAACAATTTTTGATGAGCTTCCAGATGAAGACAAACTAGGAAGAAAGATGTACTTCAAAAATCAGTCAATAAAAACCTTATGGATCACAACAGAACGTTGCCCAAATGTTGACTTGTTGGTTCTGGACTTGTCATCAGGAGGGACCAATCACTGGAGGAGGATTGGTCTTTGGTGAAGTAGAGACCAGCAAGGGCCTGGGAGAAACTTGGTGAGATGGATTGGCACAATAGCTGCAATGATGGATTCAAACATGCCAGGGATTGTGAGGATGGTGCTGGACTGGGCATCATTTCATTCTGTTGCATTTATGGTTGTCATGAGGTGGAGTCAGTTCACTGGCAGTTAACAACTTGTGCAAGACACTGTACTAACCATAGAGCACTCCTCACAATCTTACAAGACAGATACCATATGGCTCTAATCAGTGTTGTGCACTGATTACAGACACAAGAGGAAACAGACACAGGAGAGATCAAGGATGGAGAGGTTTTGTAGAGACCTGAAGTCACACAGAATGGGCTGGATGCCCACATCATTCTGGCTCTTGAATCCAAGGCCTCAGCCACTCTATAACATGTGTTTTCAACAGAAGGGGCTTGCTGCACTGAGCAAGAGCAACCTCTACCTGTCTGTCTCTCAGGGGGCATTTCTGACCCATGCAATCCCTTAGGGCTGACTTCACAAGACTAATTAGTCTTGATTACTAGCCACCCTTTTCCTGTGAATTCTGTGTGCCCAGTGTGAACCTGCCTTACCCGCTGGGATGACGTAAGGATGGGCAGCCTGATTCCGTCACATTCATACTGGCTGATGAAGCCCTGATCCTGGGCGAGGTCCAGCACATCTTCCACATGGCTATAGAGTCTCCTGATGATGACTGGCCGATGACTCTGCAGGTCTTGGGCTGGGCAAGATGAGTGTGGGCCCCAGAGGCCATACAACTCGTGGGGCTGGCTGTCAGCCTGGACCTCCTGAACTGCTGTGATGAGCTGCTCACAGCCCCAAGCCCCCTTATTCCATACTGTGTCCAGGAGGCACCTGGCCAAGTGGGAGAGGGGTTGGCCCAGGAGGCTAAGGCTCTCATAGTCCTCCCAGGAGAGGACTTCCCAGGAGAGCAAGTGGTCCAGGATGCTCTCAAAACCCTCCAGAGACCCCGAGACCAGCACCTCCACCAGATGGCTCCTCTGCGCCTGGAAATGCTCCTGCGTGCACATTTCACAACCTGAAGAAGAAATCAAAGTCAATGCAGGACCGGAGTCTGAGCCATAGTTCTACTCCCAGACATCATCCAACCCAGTCCTTCATTGTATGTGCAAACTGAGGCCAAGAGAGGGCAAGAAACTGACTCAATGTCCCAAAGACAGTTTGAAGCAATAAAAAATTTAATCCCTATCCATGCTTAATCCATAGCTGAAGAAGTTTAAAAAGACACCCTTGAGCTATTGGAGTAATGTGAAAAGGTCAGCCCAAAGGGTCAGGGAATGAACTCTCTTTGATGCAGGGTGAGAATTCCACATTAGTCTGACTTAGGCTTCAGTAGTCTCTGTCCACTAAGGCTAAGATTTATTAGGCATATGCCATATGCCTTGATGTGAAAATTCATTTACCCTCCTAAAATTCTATGGTACATGCTATGAAAAAATAATGCAAGCTTCCGGTTTTGGAGGAGGGGGAAGCAGAGTCTGGTAGGGCAGACTCCATGGGGAAGGTGCTTTCACTGAGCAGCTCCAGAGCTCTGGATCCATTATAAGGTGCAGGGCATCAGTTTCCCATACCCACCATGGAAAAATTACTGTATAAAGGAAAATATTGCGATTTCTATCACAATATCAAAATCAATGAATTAATAGGGATGCAGGACTCTCTCTGCAGCCATTACCACCCTGGCTGAGTTCAGAGGGTAGGGCCACAGCCTGACTCACACAGTGATACCGTGCTAAAACCCACACAGCTACATCTGAAAAAAGAGGTGTGGGGGATTCTACACATTTTTTCCTCCTCTTCCTGTCACACCCTTTCTGCCCAGCCCAGACATCTTCAGGCATATGGACATGCACCCCCAAAAGAGGTCCAGCATTGAGCCCACAGTTTTCCCACGGCACAGAGAGGAGGAGCCCCATTGGTCCCACGGGCTGATCCTTTGGTGGCTGCTTATGGCATCTGACTCTGGGACCCAGCCCTAAAGTCGACTTTTGTGGGACCCTTTACTCCTGCCTACCCAGCAAGAAAAAAGCATGTCTGGCCATATAGACAAACCATATGAACACTCTGTAAAACCTCAACATAAAAGGCAAGAGCCAACACCAACTACTACACACAAAGACACAGTGATTTTGAGAATTATGCTGTGCACACACATAACTGACATTCAGAGATAAAAACAGTGGACAGTATTTCTCCCATTAACTTCTCAATATCAATCTGTGCACCTCCATGGTGGTTACTAGAGGAGGGTCCTGAGTGAGTGGACACCCCCACCTACTGCTAGAGGTTTCTTCTGTTCACACACACTGATCTGTGCAGCAAAGGTTACTTTTTGTTTTTGAGTAGTGGTTTTTGTCTCTGCTTTTATATTTCCTCTGTTTTTGGTCCTTTTGATCATGTTTTTTTCCTTGGGGTGGGAGCTTTATCTTCCTATGTTACCCAAGAAGAGGCAGCAATCATGGTCATATAGCCAAGTTACAAGCATATCCCATATAATCCCACAATTAGGACAGGAGCCAATAACAGCTGCTAGGCATTACACACGAGAAAGGAAGCCTATCTCTAGATCATACCCACTGGGAGACACTCAGTAAGCTTAACAACACAGCAACATAAATCCATTAAAGCATTAAAAACCCACTTAGCTACTGAAAATGTCCAAGAAAACACAACAAAAGATCTCAAAACATGTTGAAAAACAGAAAAGAGTAACTGAGACAAATGATCTGGAGGAAGACACAGACATTCCAGTAGAAGAAGAGCAGGCTTTGGACCTGCCTGAGAAAGAATTCAGAAGAATGATGTGGAAACAAATTCAAATGCTCCAAAAAGGGGCAAAGGAAAATAAGGAAGAAGTCAGGAAAATGCTACAGGAGCAATCAAATAAGATAGATACAGCATTGGAAACAATTCAAAACCTGCAAAAAGAGGTCCAGATAATTAATAATATCAGAAATGGACAATACACTGAAAGGGCAAAGGAGTAGAACTGAAGAGATGGAAGCCAGAACCAGTGAGCCGGAAGACAAATCTGTCAATACTGCTAAGATAGAAGAGCAAGCAGAAAAAAAAAGGATTGAAAAGTCTAAAGAGAGTCTAAGATTCATGCTGGATAACATGAAGAGGAATAACTTAAAAATTATTGGTATTCCAGAACAGGAAGAATCACAGAAATCCACAGAGGGGATAGCTGAAGAGCTACTTGAAGAAAATTTCCCTAGCATCTTGAAGGATGTGAAGATAAACATTCAATAAGGGGAACATACCCCAGAAAGGATAGACCCAAAAGAAAATCATCAAGACATATCATTATCAAGCTCTCCAAAATCAAAGACAAGAAGAGAATCCTAAAAGTAGCCAGGGAAAAGAGAAGTGTTACTTACAAAGGCATGCAAATCAGATTAAGCTCTGAGTTCTTTGGAGAAACCATGCAGGCAAGAAGGCAATAGGTAGACATATATAAAAAACTAAAAGAAAAAATTATAAAATTGAAAGAAAAAACAAAAAGAAAAAAATTGCCAACCAAGAATCATCTATACAGCAAAACTGTTAATCACATACAATGGTGCAATCAAAACATTGCAGGATAAACAGAAGCTAAGAGATTTTGTCAAAGCCAATCCAGCATTTCAAAACATTCTAAAGGGAGTTCTTTGGACTGAAGACCAACAAGAACAGACGACAATCAGAGATTGACAGATGTGGCAACACCACCTGAAACGCAGATGACAGATAGCAGAGTCCAGAACAGAACAAAATTACAAAAACGAATTAAAAGGAGATGGGAGGTCAACCAAAGATCAAAATAATAACAAAGTCAAAGAAGGGAAAAATACAGGAACAGAGATCCAGGTGGTGAGGAAGTCAGGTGTATTACAGGATACAATTGTTGTTGTTGTTAAGTGCTGTCGAGTCAGTTCTGACTCATAGCAACACTCTAGAGGGTTTCCAAGGAGCGACTGGTGAGCTTGAAGCACCAACCTTGCAGTTTAAACCGACTGTGCAGTCTAACACGTTAAGCCACAGCACATAATGCACAGTGCTACACCAGGATACAGTAGACTGTTTTAAATGGGGGAAAAGTTAATAGACTATAGGGTAACCCCAAAGTAAGTTAATATTTCACAACTTACCATGAACATGAACTTCCAAGCAGAACAAGGAAACATGAAAACTAAGAAGAAACTGATAAGAAATAGCACAAACAGCATGCTAGCACAAGAAGGCATGGAGAACAAAGGAACAAACAGCACCACAAAAAATTAACATAATGAAGCAATTAATTCATATCTATCAATAATTACACTGAAAGTCAATGGATTAAATGCACCAGTGAAGACACAGAGAGTGGCAGAATGGATAAGAAAACAAGACCCTTCAATATGCTGCTTGCAAGAGACACACCTTACACACAAAGACAAAAACAGACCAAAAGTTAAAGGATGGAAAAAAATACCAAACTAGCTGCAATAATAAACATGCAGGAGTGGCAATACTAATATCCAATAAAGTAAACTTTAAGACAAAAACCAGCATAAAAGATAAAGAAGGACACTATCTCATTATACTAGAAGGTCAAATAAGCAAGAGGACATAACCATAATAAATATCCGCCAAAAGAAAGAGCACCAAGATACACGAAGCAAACCCTACTAGAATTGAAGAAAAAAACAGACAAATCTACAATTATAGTGGGAAATTTTAATACGCCACTTTCGTAAAGGGACAGAACAACCAGAAACTCGACAAAGTTACAGAGAAACTAAACAGCACAATCATCCAACTTGACCTCATAGATGTGTACAGAGCATTCAGCACAACAGCACAATATACATTCTTTTCCATTGCACATGGAGCATTCTCCAGAACTGACCATGTGTTAGGTCACAAAGCAAGCCTCCATAAATTTAAAAACATCAGAATACTACAAAGCATCTTTTCAAATCTCAGTGCTATAAAACTAGAAATCAACAATATGAAAACTAAGGAAATAAAGTTGAATACATGGAAACTGAATAACACACTGCTGAAAAGTGACTGGGTAGCAAAAGAAATTAAACATGTACTCACAAAGTTCCTAGAAACAAACAAGAATGAAAACACAACATACCAAAATCTTTGGGACACAGTGAAAGTGGTGCTGAGAGGACAATTCATTGCGATAAATATGCACATAAAAAAAGAAGAAAGAAGCCAAATTAAGGCATTAACATAGCATCTCCAACAATTAGAAACAGACCAACAGAGGGAACCTACAGGTACCAAAAGAAAAGAAATAATACAGATAGGAGCAGAAATAAATGAGTTGGAAAACAGAAAAACTATAGAAAGAATCAACAGGACAAGAAGCTGGTCCTTTGAAAGGATTAATCAAATTGACAAACCACTGGCAAACCTAACAAAAGAAGAGGGAGAAGACACAAATAACATGCACTAAAAACCATATGGGAGATGTCACAACAGTACCAAAGGATAATAATGGAATACTACGAAGAGTTGTACTCCAACAAATTTGAAAACTTAGAAGACATGGACACATTTTAGAGAAACACGACCTACCTAAACTTACACAGAGTGAAGTAGGAAACCAGAACAGACCCATAACAAAAGAAGAAATTGATCAGGTCATCAAAAGACTCCCAAACAAAAAGAAGTCCAGGCCTAGATGGCTTCACTGGTGAGTTCTACCAAACATTCAGGGAAGAGCTGTCACCAATTCTACTCAAATTATTCCAGAATATAGAAGAGGATGGAAAACTTCCTAATACATTTTATGAGGCAAGCATAACCCTCATACCAAAACCAGGGAAGGACATCATTAAGAAAGAAAATTATAGACCAATATCCCTCATGAACATAGATGCAAAAATTCTTAACAAACTCCTAGCCAAAAGAACCCAGTGGCACATCACCAAAATAATACATCATGACCAAGTGGGTTTCATAACAGGGATGCAAGGATGGTTCAACATTAGAAAAAAATTAATGTAATCCACCATATAAATAAGAAAAA